TTTCTGATTTTGAAAGATTATAGGGACTGGTCAGTGCATTGTTTTCAGACCTTTACATCTTGTTTCTGCCAGAATTAAAATAGCAAATTATGAAACATAAGAAAGGTATTGAAGTCTTGGGGCATTTTCATCCATCAGCTATAAAAATTCTTCCCCAGTGTAATGGAAACATAGTATGAGTCAATGAAGACTGTCAAGATGCAATGGCAAATTTGGTGCTCTCAGACTGGCAGTGTTTCCTGATTCTGAGGGGTTTGGGTTCATTTTGTGCAGCTGTTTGTGCATGCTGCTGTCCTGGATTCGCAGCTGATCTCTCCCACTGTGTGACGCTTCCCTGTGAGGGTGGTGAGGCCCTGGCACAGGTTGCCCAGAGAAGCTGTGGCTGCCCCATCCCTGGAAGTGTCCAAGGTCAGGCTGGACAAGGCTTGGAGCACCCTGGGCTGGTGGAAGGTGTCCCTGCCCATGGCAGGGGTGGAACGGGATGAGCTTTAAGATTCACTCCAACCCAAACCACTCTGCAATTCTGTGCTGACCAAACTGCAGGACTTCTCTCAGCTGTTGGAATGAAGGATAAATTGTTGGGCTCTGATATAATGCTGTAGTGGACTTTAGCAAGAACCTGAGGAGCAAATAATTGGAATATAGTTGTAGAACATTGCAGTTGTTATTTGGTTTAACTAGCACTACACTGTAAGCTACACCTGGTTTTAATAATCAGTTTTTAAAAGTTGTGCTTTACTGAGGTCACATTCCGTGCAAATTCAGAAAATAAGTTCTTGCAACACTGGAATTGTAATGATAACCCACAAGGATGTTTTGGAAAAGGCTTGAAATCTCTGAGCAGCACCTGAAATGTTCATCTGGAGAAATTTCTGCAGTGCATTTGCTACACACTGCGTTTACAGTGTTGCTTTTCAACCTGTGTTCCCATAGAAAAACCCTGTAAGGAGTGGAGCAGAGTTCCTGTTATTTGCATGTAGTTTTTAAGTTGTTGTCCGAGGGCAGGGGCAGGAGGGAAGGGCAGCAGCTCTTGGGTGAGGTTCATGGGGGTGACATGGGTACCCCCCAAAGCACTGCTCTGCTGCCACTGGGGGCTGGTTTTTAATCAGTGAGTTGTTATTTATGGAGCAGGAAGAGGGACCCTGCTGAAATAAATCAGGCCCAGCTCCCTGAGAGCACAACACCTGATGAGTGTGTCCTTCCAGCCTCCTACCTTGAGAAATTATCTGATGGCCCCACAGAGGCTGCTTCTCCTTCCCTCCCCAGATGGAGGGCTTGGATTGAAGCTGTTCTTGTTGCCTGGAGCTGAGGGGATTGCAGGGACACCCCACCAGGCTCCAGCAGCCTCCTGACATCGCAGCAGGGGCAGCTCTTCCCCACCATGGCACGTACAGTGGTATCAGGTTGATTAATGTGCCCAATAGAAATAAAACAAATGGAATTTTTTTTTTAGATTATACAGTACACTCATAAATATTAATGCACTTTTGTACTGAATTGCATGTAATTACATATTTATACATTTAAGTCACCTTCCTGATACACTTAAGGCACTTTACTGATGAAAGATATCTCTGAATAAGATGGTTTTAAACTGTGCCTAATATGTTTGTAGGATTTATTTAATAACGTGTGGGCTTGCGTGCTGGCAGGAGAGGAGAAAAACCTCCATCAGAGACTGAATGTGGTTGTGGGGTCTGGTGCTTAGTTTGAATCCACTCCATGGGCAGCTGCTGACAAATACATCTCAACATGAAATATTACTACATCTTCTTATCTATGTAGATAAGGTCTCTGCAGTCCTGTCACCTTAGAGTAATTACAGCTTATTACTCTAATCATGATGATGCCTGAAGTCTGTAATTAAGATTGTGCTGGCTAATGTACGAGCACACGGCGTGGTACAGCCATTGTCCTGTCTAAACAAGGGAGAGATAAAAATGGGAGCAAGGACAAAGGGCAGCAAGTGGGGAAGTGATTTATGCAGGGCCATGGTTTGCAGCCAAGTGCTGCCTCTGCCAAGCCCAGGGGCTCCAAGGGGAGGAATCCCAGCCCATGCTCTGAGACAATCTCGGGCAGTTTGCACCCTCAGACACGAGGAGCAACACCCCGTGTGACCCCTGTGCAAGCTACTTTTGATATATCCTGTGTCTAAGCTTCATTCTTTTATCGTGCTGTGCTGCAGTGTAGTCTGCAGATGAAGATTTCAATATGTATTTCAATATACATATATATTTTAAGGCCAAGTCATGTATCTGTTGAAGGCCATGACAGGTTCTACCCACAGTCCCATAACACGAGGGTTTGACCCACAGCACTCTGCGATTTTCTCTGCAGTGGTGTCAACTGATGAAGAGCAGAGGGCTGTTCTAGAGGAATGGGGTTGCCTAAACACTAATCTTTATGTCTACATTCCATAGCAAGCCCACCCACCAAACAGGATTTAAGGCCCCTTTCACAATTTCAGAACGCTGAGTTAGGTACATGTGGAGCTCCCTTGCCCCTCTCAGTGAGCAGAAGAGGCACCTTATTTTTCAAGCTTCCTGCCAGTCATTCCTTCTGTCTTGGAGGGTTCCTTTTCACCCAGTTTGTGGAAGGCTGTGTTAATTTGGTGTCACTCATCTCTGTGTGTATATGCAGATTCTTTGATCCCAATTCTGACATGAGCTCCGTGTCCTTTAGGGGCGTCTGACAATTCATGAAACTTTCTGCAGCTGGGTGGAACATGGGCTTCTCCCAGGCACATCCACAGTGATCTGTAGAGTCTGACTCATCTTATACCCTCTTTAAAGCTAATGGGAACTAGTAATTTCTTGATGGCAAGTTCTAGCCCCATTAGACATTTTATAAGCACCTGGAAACCTGCCACCATTTAATTTAGATCACTCATACTTGGGGGGGGGGGAAATCCCACAAAAGCTTCTTAGTCATTAGAAGAATTTATTTTTTTTTCCCAGAAAGTTTCCCTTTGTTCACTCCTTCAACCTTTCACATTTAGAGTGAATCCTCTAGTAGCATTTCTATCTACCAAATTAGCTCTGTGTTTTAACAGAAGTCTTTGCTGGTATAATGTACTACTCATAAAGCACTGGATTTTTTTTTATACTGACCTGAAAAAAATAAAGATTGTTAGAGCTCGATCTTAAGGTACAAATCAGTGTATTTTATAACTTGCCTTTGCTATCCAGGTGTGGATGCTGTAGTTCTATGAAGCAGTTGATGAGCACTGGTGAAATGGTTACTCATTTTAGTACATGTTACCTGAGAACCTGCCTTCCTGCATTCAGGACATGTAGCTAAACCGAAAACCATCCTGGGAAGGGAGACAGAAGGTGTGCTGAGGAAAGAGTTGTTCTTGCTTTTGATTTCCTTGGGCTGCTCTGTGGGATCTCAGGGTGAGCACAGGGCTCCTCAAAAGGAGATCTCAAAGCATAACATGATCAGTGCTACTACTGAGTTCTTTTTCAGGAGGTTGAGGAACCAGCAAGGAGAGGCTCGAGGTCCTTAAAATACTGATCTGCTTTATAGCTAAAGATGCTAAAATTCTTTTTTATGAGGCTGGATAAGGCTCCTAACTTTTGGGATATGAATAACACTGTGAAGAAAAGCCTGGGATATTTCCTTTGGGGTCTTAGGTGAAGAAAAGGTGTCTTATAGCTTCTGTTCAGTACTCCCATCTTTAATACTTGTAAAATCATTCTTTTTACTAAATATGAAATGTGAATGATGATTGTCTCCAGTTTAATTATTCATCTCATTGGTTTCAGTTATGAATTTTGTGAGGCTCTTGTGTTTTCGAAAGGCATTTGGGGAGCATTCTTTAATTAAAGCCAAACTGATTTTTGCCTTTGGGCATGTTTTTTTGCATTAAAAGGTGGCATAATTTGAACTATATTCTCCTGAACCTCAGTCTGTATGTGAAAAGGGGCCAACAGCCCAGTGTCTTCCTTGCTGTCAGTTATAATACTGAGTGACAACAGACAACAGCTGAAAGGCTACAAGATCACAGAGTGCTTTATGGTGGGGCATGGGAGCCTGGTGAAAGCAGCCAGGACTGTGAGCAGAGAGGCTGAAAGTATTCAACTGTTTCCTGCCCCTCCCATGGCAATACCAGACCCTCACGGGGGGAGTTCTTGGAGGAGATGTGACTCAGCAGATTGGATTTGTTAGATGCACAATATGCACTATAATTAACATCTTTCCAATAGTTCTTCTCTCCTAATGAATTCTCCAGCCTCCTCTTCCTCTGCATTTAATTCTGTGTTATTGAAAAAGATTCAAGTAATATTTATTTGAAATGAAAACAGGGGTTCTGCGTGTTGCAGATTATCAGTAAGAAAATAGCTGTGGGCTAAGTGAGAAAACTCACATTTGTGTTACAAGACTGGAGTGTTTTTTACAGGCAGACATTGATTCTTAGGGTTAAAGGGTCAAGTAACAAAGTTTTCAAACACAAGCTGCTTGTTTGTGCACTTTTCACCCCCCTCCATGAGATTTGGAAATCTACTGCTTAAGTCAGGCTTGAGGGAAACATCCCCTTAAGTCAATGGAGATTCATTGGCCCTAACTGGATTTAGGTCAGCTCGTGCCTTGGCTTGTCAAATACAAGAAATAATAAGAATAAATATGAAAAGTCGAGCATTGTTTAAATCAAAGCAGACTGTTAATTTAAACATTATAAAGATATGATGTCTTCTGAATGTGTGTTCACCTGATGCATGAGATGTTTTGGAGAATTGTGAGGTTGATGGTATGACACCTCAAGGAGGGTATGTTTGCTTCTGTGCACTCACTTCACCTGACCGACTTCATTTTGCGTTTGCCTGTTAAGTGGTTGAGAGGACATCAGTGAAGGCTGGGTTTTTTTCCTTTCCTGGTGACTGTAGTGTTGCCTCTAGAGTTCTTTGCTGGTCACTTGGAATTGCTGCTTCAGGAGGGCAAGGAAATCAGAGCTGTGGCTTAACCGCTGTCTTTTTCTCTCCCTCCTTCTCCCTCTGCAGAAGGACGTAGCTCTGAAACCTCAGGAACGTGTGGAGAAGAGACAGAACCCTCTAGCCAAGAAGAAACGGGAAGCACTTACCAATGGGCTGTCGTACCCTCCCAAAAAGAACAGACTCCACCACCACCAGTACAGCTCCGACCGGGAAAATGACCGTAACCTGTGCCAGCACCTCGGGAAAAGGAAGAAACTACCCAAGGGCCTCAGACAGGTGGGACACAAGTCACCTGCTGCGGGGAGGGAGGGCTTTGGCTCTTGGCACATGGTAGGTAGAAGCCAATTTCTCATTTTGTGGGATCACTTATTCGAATCCTTTGGTGGTTGCTTTGTTCTCAGGCTCTCGGGTGGCACTCGGTGCTGTGTCCTGCCAGTGCAGGAGATGGGCTGAGCAGGTGGATTGATGGTGGAGCTGATCTGATTAATAAATGTGCAAGGCTTGGGAGAGCTTTCCACAGGCTGGCTGTGAGGCTGTCAGGGCAAACAAATGTGGTCTCTCTGTTACACTGCAAGGCCAACTTTGTCCTATAAATATGCATTCTGGTCTCTAGACTTTGTTCAGGGAAGCACAAGACCCCTCTGAATGCCAAGGGCAAGGTGAGGCTCCAGCAGGGAACACATTTACACTGGGAATGCCAAGGGCAAGGTGAGGCTCCAGCAGGGAACACATTTACACTGGGAATGCCAAGGGCAAGGTGAGGTAATTGCAAGAAGGGCAGCTGTTCATCAAGGCAAAGCTCTGAGACTGATTACAGTGTGAGGAGCTCGTTTGTAGGGTGTCAGTGGCACTGGTTCTGCTCCTCTGGGTTACTCAGAACCTGCCCTAAGCAAGAACTTCTGCCTTCCCAGCAGTGTTGTTCCCTTCCAGGGTGGCTGTGGCACACATGTGGCAAGAGTGAGCAGGTCACATCCAGGCTTGCAAAGCCTGAGGCTGGAAACATTGGGTTCTTCTCCATGACTGTGCAGTGTCGTGTTTGTTACGTTTTTTAAAAAAGAAGAAAGTGTGACAAGTGTGATTTCTATGATGCAGATGCAGAAAAAAGAGGTAATAGTAAAAAGGTCAGCTTTGGCCTACATTTGAGTCATGTTTATGAGCCTTGAACCAAAATTTACATGTCTAATGGGGATGGTTGATATTTGGAATCATTTTTCATCCTTGTTTAGTGCAAACCAAACGTTGCTTTGTGGAGAAACTTGTAGAAAATAGTGAGAATTCACTGCTTCTCATTTTGTGAGCTCAGGGAAATGGAAGGAACATTGAGGATGACAAGTATGCTGACTTGTATTCAATTTTGATATTCAGAGTTACAGAAGCTGGGAAAAAATAGGTTTTCATGATGATTTTTAAGCCTACACTGTGTATAGAAATAAAATTAGAGATTATACAGTACTTCAGCAGAGCACACAAATTGTAAAAATGCCTATTCTACACTACCACAGCTGTTAAAGGTATTTTTTCTAATTTAATTTTACTTGATATTTCAAAGGGAGGTGGGGAAAACTCTTCAGGATAGTTGATGCAATGGTTTTGTTATAAATAGATATTGAAGGTTGCTGTGTTTCCTTGACTGTTTCCTGTGTCTGTTCTGGTTTGGTCTGTCAGATGGTAAATGGACCTGCTTTGGGCAGGAGGAACTGGCCTCTGTAGAACTGACTTTTTGCATTGTTTGACTCCTCTGGTGTGGCCTATTGTCAGGTGGAGCCTTTCTGCCCGGAATTTCAGCTATGAAGGAAATCAGCCTCACTGCTGATGGAGGTTATTTGTGAGGTTATGTTTTCTGGAGTAAATATACACTGTCTTGGAAGGTATTGAGTTGACAAATGTCATGGGAAATGCTCTTTTCCTTTGAGCTGATAAATCTGAGTACCCTGACTAATTCCTGAGGGATCAGACTGAGAGGAAATAAAATATCTTGCTCAATATAAATTTAATACATTTGGGAGGGGTGTAGCTCCTCAGATATGAGCATTTTAGTCTCATGAACAGTGTAGGTGTTGACAAATCTATGAGGCTTTGGCACTTAGACATGGAAAAAAGATGTCATGGAAAAGACTATAAAGTTCTTTGGAGAGGCATGCCCACCACTTCTATAGAGAGAGTTTGTGGTAAGCATTTTCTGTCTTCTTTCAAGACAAATGGTGTCATCGAAGGAGGAGAGTGATAAGTTCTGAGGGTGATTTTCCCTGATAATGTTACACTTTTCCTCCTCGAGTGACTCTTGGCTGCACACCTTGGGTTGTTTTCCCCATCCAGGTGCATCCCACTGAATTCCTGGGCTCTTGGAGGGGAAGTAGAGTTGATTGTCAACCTTCTCAGATGGCAACAATCCAAGAACTGGGGCCACTGTGGTTTGTGCTTGACACAGTAGGAGTGTCCAGAGCCATTTAAAGTTCAGGAGACTTCTGGATGTATATGGTGTCCTATACTAGGGCGATGTATTTTATATATAAACAATTTATCCTGCCTCTCCTGTCCCTGGGGGAATCCTGAATTGCCACATGTGAATACTGTAACTGGGTGGCAGGATGCAATCCTAATGCAGTCCCTTGCCTTCCTGTGCTAGCATAAGACCTTGGCTGCAGTGTGTCCCTGCTGGGAGATGTTTTATACCTGCAGATCTTGTTTGTAGTTTCCCCAGTGGTGGACAGTCCTGGTGGATATTCTTTTCTGTGAAATCTGTTATCTGCTGGAAGTAACTCTCACTGCAGGATTTAGGGTATGAAGCTCCCTCGTCAAACAGATTTAGTTGAAGTCAGCTATTGAAAGCACTGCTAATTAGTTTTCAGAGAAAATCCTTGCAGTGTTCATGCAGGTATTTATCCAGCTCTGCTGAAATGCCTACAGGTTTATTGAAATCCAGAAAATGTGAAACTGTAGGTTAATTAAGGCTCATATTTTACTAGTGAGAAGACTTTTGAACTCTGCTTTGTGAGCTTTTATAAATGTACTTATTAAATGCCTCAAGGAAATTTTAGTTGGCATTAAGCAAACATAAGACTCATCAGAATATTTCTCCAGCGTCTTAAATTTAATTTCCTTTACGTTAATTGGTGGTGGCATGTTTTTATGTGTTTTCTGTAAAAATCATTTGGAAATCCTAAAGTGAACATTTTTAAACTAGTAAAATGGTGGCAAACATTTTTAAATGGATTTTAATGAGTTTTTATTCCTTGAGGTCCAAGCACAGTGGGGTATACCAGGAAACAATGAGTTTTCAGGGCAGAAGGAGTGTTGAGAGTATTCTGATAATGAGAGGGAAGGATCTTTGTTCAGTGGGTGTGTGTTTTGGAAAGAGCAGAAGACACTAACTTTTGCTACCTCCACCATTTCCTTCATTGTTTTGTTCATCTGCTGGGAGATTCTTGCATCTTCTTGCAGAAAAGGATCGTCTCTGGAAATGCTTCTAAACCAGCAAGGGGTCTTAGCTGACTATGTCTGTATGAGAGCTGCTGGGTTCTGCCTGCACCATCTGATCCCAAAGACACTTGCAGAATATCAAATCCCAATCCCAGATACCGTGTGACGGCAGGGAAGGAGACAAATGGTAATAAATAAAGGGCGGATGATGAATAAAGGGAATAAAACTCATGATGGAGAGATGAATTAGGAAATAAATTTTAATGAGATAAAGGCAAAATGGGAAGCAGCAAAAGATACCCCTCTGGCTCTGGCAGCCATCAGCTACAGGCATTATAAACTATTAGCTTTCACCTCGTAGTGCATTACATGGATCAATTAAGGGGGAGGGAGGGAAGGACTGAAGCTGTCAGGATTAAGTCCACGATCTCCTTGGCAGCCTCACCCCGAATTTATACATCTTACATTTGAGACTGCTTTTGGTGGCTGATCCAAGTGGCCATCACTGTCCCCTGCCATTGTGGCTCGTGAGCATCGTGTCATTAATTGTGCTGTGGATTCAGGGACAGCACAATGGTGCCTCAGTGCAGCAAACCCGTGGTGTGGAGGGTGAAATGACCGCTGTGTGAGGAGTGTTTAATCACACCCACAGCCTGAGTGGCTTTTGCAGGCTCTCAGACAAGCCCATACCTGGCAGGTAATGGGAGCAGAGCGGGAGGTGGGTGTTTGCTCCCTGGGCTGTGGTGACAGTGGTCGGGACGGGAGCAGATGGGTTTGATTGTCACCGGCAGTGTGATCCCGGGGAGAGCTGCCTGTGCTGACAAGTGATTTACAATGTGCTATTTACAGTTTGGGTTTGCAGTCTCTC